AAACGTGTTCCTTTCATCTATACTACTACTGTCGTCCACCAGACCCCTCCGAGTAGATGCCGAGCGGAAACGCTCACTGCTGTTTCGTCTCTCAAGGAAGCGGCATCGGACTGGAATGACTCGAGAAGATGATTGTTGCAGCTGAGAATGGAAGCGTTCCCCCGAAGGACTCTCTAATTTCAATCACCAACTAAAGTGACTGTGCATGCGCTCGAGCTTTCTATTCCGTCAGTTGTTTGCCAGGCTACACCGTGGAACTCGTTGAGGTGTGTCCGCGTGTTTGGAAGGATGCCGCCGGTGGGCTTGTGTCCGAACCTGAGTCTATCACCGTCACCTCTGCTCTTCGTGCTCGCTGCTGGGCTGGCGTTGCAGAACTTATGAAGCTCCGAGCTTTCAGCATCAGAGATTCCGACCCTTGGTCTCTTTGCTGACATCCCTCCACCAGAATCTACCGATATGACTGCTGGAAACCCTTAAAGAGGAGGATCTCAGGGAGGGACAGTCCATTGAAGAGGGCGGGTATGCGCGTCGATCCACCGATGTCTGCAGTGAGGCCTACCTGGCGAAGAAGTGTGCGTCCTTGCGATTCAGGTTTTGCTGCAGTCCCTCCAGAGACCTGTAATGTAATGCTGGGTGCGCACGGGCTTTACCCCTAGACAGCAAACTGCAGATTCAAAAAGAACTGCAGAGAACCATGCACTCAGCCTGAAACGCTAGCTCGGGGCGCCGGCGCCCCAAGGGCCGCCACCAGCGCTGCCGTGCCGCCACTGGAGCCGCCAGGGGTCAGGTGTAGTCCATGCGGGTTGTGGCTGCGACCATACCTTCAAGAACTGGTCTGTGTGTTTCGATCGTTTGGGCTGTGGGAGTCTCTGATGCCAGGGTATGTTATCAAGGCTTGCCGGGGGAGTTTGTCGTGGCAAGCTTGTGCCAAGCTAAAATGCTTGGAGGGGACCCATAGAGGCCGTTTCTGCAGCTCTGCCGAGCAACACGAGGTTGTATGTCTCCATCCACATGCAGGCCTGCAGCCAGGGCCCTCAACATGATGCCAACATTTTTTGGTCGACAGTGACTTGAAACTGCGCCATGTCATCATGTCAAGCAGGAGCCTCTGATACGTTGCCAGTGCCAAGCACGATGAAGCCAGCAGCCTCGAATGAGTACCCGAAGAAGTGCACGATATAAGTATAAGGTACTGTACGAAACCATATGACCTCACAAAGCCACATACATCTGTGCTATCTATGTTTATGTATGTACATACACACCCAGGTAGACCCATCGGTATACATACATATATACATACATACATACATACATACCTACATACATACCTACATACATACGTATACGTACAGCAACAATACAAGCAGAAAAATGCAAGTCCGAACCATGTGTGCTGAAATGCTCACTGTGATAGTTGTTATCATGTTGGAAAGAATGTTGGACAAGACAATAAGACATAGCACGCATTATGGCATGCAACAATGCGCCATAGCAGTGCCGGTGGCGATAGAACATACAGTGCACACATCAAAGGTGCTGAATGATAAGAGATTCGGAAGTAGACATGTCATCTCACGATCAAACCATGCACATAGGTATAGAAAGAGTTCTCATGCACTCTAGTGGGCAGACTTACAAACTCATGTTCACATTCATATTCACTGTATGTCTACATGCAGTATAGATGCAGATGCAGCTGTTTCCGAGATCAGTCACTCACAAAAAGAAGCCGGAAGCTAAGAAATCGATAAAGATACGTGCGCTTATGCACAAGTATGTATGCATGCATGCATGTATGTGTGTATTCAGGTACGTGTGTATGCGCATATGTATTGTTACACGCGTTGATAAGCATTGCCCTGCCTCTATCCGGCGCACGACAGGCCCTGAGCGCTCGCCCACACGACCTCGGAGAACTGCACATCGTTTTTGGTGGGCTCTTGAAAAAGGCGCTTTGTTGATTAGGTCTTGCTGCGGTTGCTCATGTAACTCTTCCCATACTGCTGTCAAAGCTGTTGGTATGCATCTTGCTCCACCTTGTTGCTGCGCGTGCGTGTGCATGCGTGTGTATGGTCCGTGTAGTCCCTCTGCTATTGCTGAATGATTCTCCATGCCCACTGCGACTCCCATTGGCAGCATGTCTGTGTTATCCTCCAGTTCTGGTTCTCTGACACGTCTCTTTGATCTACTTATTCTTAGACCGTTGAGCGCAGGTGAGGCAAATATTCAGCTTCGATGACGACGAAAACGGAAACTGCTGACCGGAACCTGATTCCTTGAATCGCAGTTGTGACTTCTACCACGGGCTGCTCTGTTATGTTCTTCTATCGGGTTCTATCGCTCTTCATGATCAGATCACTCTCAGTACGCCCGAAGGTGTGTCCCATCTCATCGCTTTCTTGTTCTTCTCATAACCTGTCCGTATTACTGTCGAGATCATATGCTGGCGACTGGTGTTGGTGCAAGCAAAACTACTGCTCTGCCAAGAGTGTTCGCATTTCTGTTCGCCACGACTGGTGCTGCTGCTCCTAACCACCACCATCACCACCACAACCACCACTACCACCACCACCACCACAACCACCACCACATACCACCACCACCCCCAATCACCACCACAACCACACCACACTTGCGGTGACCACGACGATGACGATGGCGACGAGGAGTACCAGCTGCGCTGTTACTCCTACTGCCCCTGTTGTTTCCAGGCATGGACTCTAGTATGAGAGGTGATGCATCGCGACGCTATCAGTCAAAGTGGTACTCCTATACCACCATCACTACTGTTACTACGGGTGTTGGTATCATTCCTGCTCGATCGTATGATTTGCAGCGTTCCTCCTCCATGCCTTTAAGACGATCAACTGTAACGTACGGCTATGACGGCTGGAACCACTGTGACTTTACAGTTATCTTTTCAACCATTGCCATGAGCACGCATACTAACGCAACTATACATGGGTTCGGGTTTGCAAATGTCACGGGTCTTGAGATGTCTTGAAAAGCAACGGAACACTGTTCCAAAGACGCTGGGTGCCGACCCCAACGCGTTCGCAAAGACATGCTTAGTCCGCTCTCACAACAGGGTTCTGAGACTAGTCAGAATCGCAGCAACGGAAACGATAAGCATAGGTAAACTATACTCATGAGACGCAACATAACAAAAACAGCGCTCCCGTGGCATGTTCAACATGGCGCCAGACTGGTAGCTGGTCTAGTAGAATCCGAGCTGCCCTTGCGGCATAGCAGGCCATTGGTGTAGGGGAAGCCCGGGTATTCGAGAGCCTCCTTCAAAATAATGGGGACGCCTGCGCCGCTCCAGGCCATGACATGTCTGCAGAGCCAATGAGATGCAGTGTCGCATGCATGCTCTCCCGATGCTCGATTCGGACAAGGTGCCCAGAAACGGTGGCCAGGACTTGACAGGATCGCCCTGTGAAGCCTGAAAAAGAAGCACCGCAGGCTTTCCCAAACGACGGGGCCTAAGACTCTCTGGCCTCAATCTGCCGGTCCACAGTCTCAGCCTTGGAGCGAGCGTGATCAACTAGCGTGAGAGGAACTCTGATGCCGCGGACAATGCCATCCCTGCCGACAACCCCAAGAACCCAAGACGGCCTGATCCACCCAGCTCACTAGTCTGAAGAAGAAGTGTTACTTGCTATCATCACAGACCTGCGCCCTGCACCTGGGCCAGCGCGGCGGAGAAGCGCTCGGCCACTAGAGCGTTGAGGTGAACCTTCGAATGCTGCACAGGAGGAACAGCCCGAATTTCGAATCAGACATGGTCGGAGATCTCAACTGCCATGTGCTAGCAGGTGCTGTTGAGTGCCAGCGAGTCACATCAACCTTCCTGATTCGCTGAATGTAAGCCTTGACAACCGCGGTGGAAGTCAGCTCGCCATTTCCTTGGCTTGACGTGGCACCTTCTTAGCTGTGGCGATTATTTCGACAACTGGTCTGCCAGCGGGTATTTTGGGGTTTTTGCGATCGCCGGGGCTTCGCAGTGCAGTACTGCTTGCCTTTTCCACACAGGCTTCAGTGCACCAGGAAAGACATCCCACGACCAACACAGAGGTGATCACACAACGAAGCCTTCAAGCGCCGGCCATGGCAGCTGAGCTTCGAATGGCAGCTGCCAGCGCCGTTGCGGACCAGCCCAGGAACGGAGGGCTCCCATCCCATGCTATTGGCCTCCAGAAGCTCCAACGAATGAATTTGAGGGTCGTGTGCTTGTGCGCTCCCATCGCCTTCGCGGCCAGTATCTCAGAAGCTGGGGCAGCCTCCTTAAAACCCACAAGGCGAGAAGCAGCTTTACCTGAGCGGCGGCACAAGCACCCCAGAAGGTCACAGGCCGGTCCCCAGAGCACCTGAATCTGCCGCGAGTTGCGAGACGTCTCAGGCGTCTCCAGTCAACACGACCATGGCTCAACCACATCGGCTTGGGGAGTCCGGCGAGTCTCTTGGGTTCTTCCGCGGAACATCCGGAACTTTAGGTTGAGGTGATGCCTAACGGACCGGGAAGGGGCAGTCTGGCAGGCTTACTCTCAGGAGCGGTGTTGGAGGCCGCAGGCTCAACTTGGCGTCTGTATCGGATTAGCCTTCGTTGCGCTAACTGAGACTCTTCTGACTCTGACCTGCTGCAGGCTGCCTGCCGGCTGTGCTGGGGAACTGACGATTCGGGTGGTCTGCCAGAGTTCTCAGTTCTCAATCTGTTCTGAAGCCGAGGCTCGAGGTGCCAAGCGAAACCATCTCTCCGCAAACACGGCGAATGGAAACTCCAAACTAGCCATCACACAAGCATAATTCCGATTTGGAACCTTGCTGCAGAACTGCAGAACCTCTACGAAGGGAATGTGGAGTCAGTGATGGCAAATGGACGTGTCCCCGTGTGACTCGCGTCATGCAAGTCGCATGACATCTGTGCCTTGCATGAAGCGAACTTCAGTGAGAGGAAAGAGAGGCACTCCAGGGGAGCGCGCGATCGAACCGGAAACTTATACAGATGACCTTCGAAAGGAGTCCTCCCCCACAGCGCTGGGTGCCGGTGACTTCTCCAGAAAGGCCACCATTTCACAGACAAACAGGAGCAGCCTGAGAGCTTTGAGAGGAGGGTCATCAATACGGCTTGGTGTGACAGGTTTCAGGGACACGTATGAGAATGACTCGAGGCGAACTCCCTTTCCGCCAAGGACCTGCAAAAAATGGTGACAGCTGCTAGAAAGCTCAGCGACATCCCCAACGTCACCCCTCAAGACTCTGGCAAAATCCAAGTTAAAAAAAGGCTAGGATAAACCCCTTCAAATGCCGCCCGTGTAGTTGTAGTTCAGACGAGAGAGCACGCGGCTTGAGGTCGCTACGTGCCTGCCGGCACACCAGCCGCGAGGCGACCGGAGTAGTATTCCTTCGACGAGTAGACGCAAGAGGCGCAGGGGCAAGGCCATCAGAATTGTATGCAAAGTTGCCAAGTAGTGGAGCTCTTGGGAAGTGGCTGCTGGCCGGCCAAGATGTTTCCAAACAGCGACCAATTTGTTGAACAGTCCTGCTCCCCCGCAAGCGCCAGGGGCCTCAGCTCGGATTGATGACCACAAGGCGCAGGATCGGTTTCACTTCCCGAATACAATCCCTGTCATGGTGCAGAATCAGCAGTAAAATGTGTTGGCCAATTCCCGCTCTGCGGTTCACATACCGCGGGCAGTCTCGCCTTCTCAGGTGAGCTGCAGTCACCTCCACACCCCCTGCACTTCTCTAATATGCTACATTATACTACAACGTACCTCAACAGAGTCTAGTATACTCTAAGAAACTACAACATACTATAACATGCCATAGCATACTGCAACATAATATGGTTCTGGAGTTCTATAGCAGGCCCTAAACCCTAAACCCTAACCCTGGAGTTCTGTAGCGGGCAGCCCGTCACAGCCGGTCCAACAGCCTGGGCTCCCCGCGAACCACCCGTCGGCAAGCCCTGCCAGGCCCAAACCTCGTGTACCGTGTACGGAAGTCGGAGTGAAATATATAATATCATATGATATCATATAATATCATATCATATCATATCATATCATATCATATCATACCATATCATAATATATCATGTTTTATTTTATTATACTATTGTAATATTATACTATACTATAACATATCATTATTTTATCTTATATTATACCATATTACAGGATATCATTCTATAACATAGTTGATATCAATATATAATATACTTATGTTGCATTATATTTATAGTGAACCCCAGAAACTTGGAACATGAGTTTAGGAGGATTAGTGCGAGGATTCCCTATACTTTACCTTTAGGGCATGAGGATAATGATGTTCCAACTTTTCTGGAAAGTACCGTATAGTATAGTCAATTATTACATTCAACAGGAATCTGGGGCTGACGAGGCTTCAATTTCGGCTCAACTTAAATCTTGTCCTTCTCAGGTCTTGCGACTTGTTGGAGGTGGAGGGCACGGGGTACAGGACGGCGCCCAAGGTTGCTTGCCGAGCACCGCCGTGCGAGCTCTCTGCATTTCAAAACATGCGTAGCTGAGGGTTTGGGGTGAATGCTGGTTGCAAATCTGCAGAGGCCGGAGGCCGGGAAGCAATTGTTTTCCCTCTCTCGACTGTCTCGAGTCCCCCCCCCCCCCCCCCGCCGTCTAAGTTCGGGCTTGGGGCCCATGGGGGTAAAAGGAGACATCGAAGCAAGCGCTTGCACTTCAAATCCTGTTGCAGCCTAACTCCTAACACATCCTAACTGCAGCTGGTTTCTGCACAGGCCATGCGTGCTAGCTGGAACACCAACGGACAGATTGCATGCAGGCAGGAGTTTAACAAGGTAATAGGATACATCGAAGCAAGCACTGGCACTCTGAAACCCTAATTACTGCAGCTGAACCCTGCCCACAATTTGGATGCCGGGGCCGTCCCCAGGCGGCTCTCGTGCTAGCGGTTAAATTTACCTGCATGCCCTCCCCTTAAACGGTTAAAGCCCCCGAAAACAGACTGCCGCTTCGCACCAGCCAAGGATGTTCACTCGCTTCTCGCAGATATTGATATCTCTTTTTTGGGGGGTACAGTACAGTACCTTTGCAGATAGCAAAGCGAAACAGAAGGCAAACTCTAACTTGGTGCTTGGAAGAGGGCCATGAAACGCCGGAGCCAATCTCGGGCGACACGTCGCGCTTTCGAGCTGCCTTTGCACTCCTCAGGCAAAGGTCCCCGAATTCATCTACATCCTGAGCAGTCTCAAGGGATCCTGGTAGAAGCGGATGGCCAGCCGCAGCCACACAACGGTGGGGAATCCACCTGGCGCAGAGGGAACATCCTGTGCAAGGCAAGCACAGCCGAAGCAGTCTGCACAGCAATTTTCATAACTCAAAAAAACGAAGGCGTTGCGGCACATCCCAACCTTCACATTGACAATGCAGCAACCAAGTGTCCACCGCAACATCGCTACACTACTCCTAAATGCGCAGGTTGTTGCGTCTGGGACTTTGTTGGCCGGTTAGGCATGCTCAAGGCCGGACTGTCTCCGTCCCACAATGAGCCTAAAGCTACGATCTTGCTTGGCAGCCTCTGCAATACGAGGGAACCATCACACTCGGCAGCTTTCCCTTACATTCTCCAGTGAAGCTCAACCACTGAAACCAGGGCAACCCCCAGAACACCGGCACCTTGCTTTGTGCCGGGGATGCGCCTCGCTTTCAGCCACATCCTTGCTGCACTCTTGGCAGTGTCTGAGTAAGTTGGTACGGGGCGGCACTGATCCGAGAGCCGAGAGGACCAGCCAGGTACTGATTAATTAGTTCGTTTGAAAACTTTAATTCGCGCCAGCCAGAGAAAAAAAAAACTAGCAAGCGACCGTCCGCCTCAAAGATTGGCCTGAGGCTGGCACTTCACGAGGCGCAGCATGGAGGAAAGCTCGGGCCCAGCAGTTCGCCTGGATGTCCAAAGGCATGCCCGAGCCCCGTGTCTGCGCTCGCTCTTTCTCTTTTTCTTCTTCTTCTTCGTCTTCCTCGTGTTCCTCTGCAGATTCTCTCGGATATTCTCGCTCTTTCTCCTGCGAAGCCCATAAGTACATGTAAGTACGGAAGAGTGCCGTACGACCTTTATTAACTTCAGTCCGTGTCGCTCGTCATCTGTTTCCACCCGATTATGGCTGCTGGTGCCCTGGGCCGCGGCAAGTGTCCTGAAGCTGAGTGCCGAACAAAGCGTAGCGAAACAGCAGAATGTCGCGGATAGAAGACATCTGGTTCCTCGGGCAACCATTGTGGAGTGCTCTTCACACAGGTGCAAGGCTTGTCAGATCCAGCTGAGGTTGCGGCAATGTCACATCTACAGAAAGGCCTGCAGTGCTGTTCCGGCCATCTTCTCACATCTTGGAAACGCATGCGCTGGGCAGTGATTCACCCAGTCTGGAAATCCGGGAGGCACAGACCCCTGCATAGCTCACATCCCCTGGCCTGCCAGTCGGAAGGAGAGCAGCGGAACGGCGACCTCCACCAGGCCATACGTTTTGCGTCTGCTCTTCAAACTTCCTCCCTACATTACACTGTCCAAAACGTCTGGAAGCTTCTCTCGCGAAGGTGTCTGCAAATACTCTTTACCAGTAGGTGCTGACGGAGTCATCGTCGCAGCAATTGAAGAAGTCGAGCTTCATAAGACAATGCCATAGAAGCAGGCTAGTTAATGCTGCTGCCAAATGCAATTCAAGCTTGTCAGAACCTTTTGGCTTTTACCGCTGTGCATTGCTCGGAAGTGTATTAAGGCTGACATTCTCACCGTGCTGGCCGGCATTCTGAAAGTCTCGGGAATGGTCGTCAGGGGCAGAGAAAGCTACGAGTAGGGTGTAGAGTGCTGTGTAGAACTCGTAGATTTCAGATCTAATTGAGCTCAGGGTCGAGAATTGAAGCAGCAGAAGCAGCCGAAAGCACGGCCTGCTCCAGCAATATTACATCGACGGCCTCGCCGGCCTGTCCAGAACTTGCTGCGACGCTGCAGCTCATCGAATACTGCACCATAGGACCATACAAATAGTCATAGTCATAGTTCCCCTACTTACCCCTCAGATCGCGCCAGCTGCCTTGAGCAAGGCCTCCGTGACGGCGGCCAGGGCTGTCTTGGGATTCACCTCGGATCAGAATCCAGAAAAACTGTGACAACACGAGATCCTTTAAAACACCGTCCGTGGCAGCGTGCTTCACGAATACCTGGACTCTCTGAAAGCCTGAGCTTACCGGCCTCTATGTCACAGCAAAGCACCAGGTCCAGGTCAGACCTTAGTCACTGGACGCAGACCCGCATGGCACAGTTTGCCGTTCGGGGTCAGGGCTGCTATAGCGGACTATAGCGGTGTTGCAGCCGGCGCAGCGCAAAAACAGAGGTAATAGCAGATCGGACCCGCGATGCATTCAAGCAAAGCTCCGCGCCCTCCGACGTCTGCACCCAAACCTGCAAAAGCGCAAACAGCCGCTGCCATTCCAACGGCAAGTACAAATGTTTTTGGACACTGACTGCTCATGCTGGAGGGTGCAAAATTGGCCAAAACCTGCAACCGCAAACCAATACAACAGATAGAAAATTCCACATGCACTTGGGCAGTGGCCCATGCTGCCCGCCACGACAACCTTCGGGTCGGGACCCAACACGTCCAAGGTCTGAACCTCGTGGTGGAAGGAACCGCACGGTCGAGCCAGACGGGCCTCTGGTAAGCTTCAGGCCAGTGCTGTGACCTGCGCCGCTTCAGCAGTCGTTCGTAGTACTGAGGCTTTTCACCCCGACATACCCCGACCCAGCCTGCACTAGAACTTCTCGTACTTGGCGCGGCAATGGAGGCAGCGGCGACGGCGGAGAGGGATGATCCATCGCCCCTACAGAACCAGAACCGGCAACCCGGCAATGGTTTTCAAACAGCACAGGAAATCACAGGCAGTGATTGAGGTTTAAGTTCGGACGCAGCCAAGCAGCGCAGAAAGTCGAGAGGCAGTCCGAGTTCACAACTCTCCCGCAGAGTTTCAAGCATCAACCGGAAGGCTCCGTGCGATTGCTCGTCCATGTCCTTGTCTGCCTGGAAAGCTGCCTGGTGCTTTGGAGAGTAGACGGAGCGAATGCAGTCCACAAAGCTGGGCAGGTCGTCGAACATCCTCTGGTGCCACCAAACAAATCCCCAAAGCTGAATCCAGCAGCGGTGCCGGCGCGAGACAGGCACGTGCAAGTATCGGCACTTGGGTTTGAAGCAACCAGCCGGTGTCTGGGCAGCCCAACAGATGCTGGTCATCTGGAGCGGCACCTCCTGGGTGCTTGTTGCGCTCTGGCTTGTGATCTTTGAGGACTTTAAGATCTCCCGCAGCTGGCGGATGGTCTCTGCCGTTGAAGTGTGATGGACAAAGATGCCCCCTCGAGCCTCCCAGGCTTCGCGCAAGTCCCCACGATCGTCGATCAACACACAGCCCTGGCCGCTGAACTTCTGCTTGTTCCGGGTTCCACAGCAGTAGACCGCCACTTCAGAGCCCAGCTTCTCGTGGCACCACTGCTCCTTCTGCTTTGCTGCCATCTGTCCTGCTCGGCCCATCGGGAGGCCAGTGAGAACTGCTGGAGTGGGGACGATATTCCAATCAATCCATCTCCAGAGCTCTTCGCCATCGGACGTCCAATCAAGCGACAGGAAGAAGTCCGTCTTTTCCTCAATGCGCCGCCACATTTCGCCCTCCTCGTGCTTTAACGCTTGGCACAGGCAATGATCAGGTTGGAGCAGACTCAGGTTCTAAGATGTTCCGTTTGCTAGCAAGTATGCTGAAGCCTCTGACTGCAGGATCTCTATGACCACTCCGCACCGAATCTGGGTGGGGTCTCGGTCTTGGGCTGCAGCGGGAACGCTGTCTCAACACCCGGATCTTTGCGCTTTTCGATGCCCTATGGTTTCGGCACCTACCGAATGCATCGGCAGCTCGGAGACTACGCAACGACATCTGGAAAAAGACTCGACTTCGCGACACAGAGATTGACAGAAAGAGCGGCATCAGGGCACCGACAGGGCTGCAGAAGCAGAAAGCACCAGCTAGCTTCGGAGCGGTGAAGCGCTCCACGTGGATCTGTGCAGGAATGATGTGGCGGAGACTAGACAGCAGACCAGGGAACGACGACCTGTTTCCTATGTGGCCACCATTCAGATCAAAGGTCATTAGGAAAAAGGAACATCTGAAATCAGCCAGTGAGACCTCACGTCCTCCAGCCATTGGGTCTCACGCTCTCACGAGTTTTGCAGGTTTTTTACACCATAAAGCTGCAAAAACCCTGAACATGTGAGACCTCACGTCCTCCACCCATTGGGGTCTCTCGCTTTTACGGGTTTCGCAGGTTACACCATAAAAAAGCTGCGAAGATCGCCTCCGAGCCTGCAGTGAACCTGTGCAGAAGACGATTTTCTCGCAGGAGGGGTCGCGCCGTGCATCCCTTTCGTTTCTGCCTGAATCGATTCCCCATCGAGCTCCTCCTGGAACCCTGCCAAAGTATCCCCAGCCCAAGCTTTTTCGAGGGAGAGTCGAGCTCGCGCAGGCAGCCATTGAGACTTCGGACCCAATGACATGTCAAAGAGCAAGGAAAGCGTCCTCCTCCCAAGTGAGCTTCGTGACAGTGTGCGTTGGTATCTTCGCAGCAATTGCCCCACCCTCTGGGAAAAGGGCAAGACAGCCCTTGTTGAAGTCGGCCAGCACGCCGTCCAGGTCACAGTACAGTTGCACATGTGTCGGAGCCTCACAGCACAGGGTGCTGAGCCAAAACCCCGCAGACTTGAAACCGATAGAATTCTAAGTTCCTTATTATCATTATAGTATAATGGGCCCAATCACCTATATTTTGAGGTTCCTTATTATAACTATAGTTTAATATAAACCTTGCCGAACTCATGCGAGGCCTGGGTCTTCGGCACGTCCACAGGCCGGTACGGGCCGCAGAGGTGGGGAGCGTGCAGGCCCGGCTGGAAACGGGGGTAGGACGCGGCCATGGGCCCGAGCGCATGGCACGAGCCATGGGGAAGCAAGATCTCTGAAAAAGCCTTGCGATCGCGAGATCCTGCCAGAGGTCTCAGGAGTTTCAGGTCTGGTGTGCTAAGGTGTGCTAGTGCTGATCTCTTTGATAGGTCCTAGTTGTTGGCCATGTGCTGAAGCACTGAGCCTGAAGCGGCTGCCGTGTTCAAGTCGTGGCCGGCAACACTGCAACTGGCTGCATTGCTTGCAGCCTCTGGGACTTTGTTCGTAGAGAGGCATTGAAGCTTCTTTGTCACCGAGCAAATCATGATCTCTGGACTCCGCCGCGCCAGTCCTGGATCGGTCAGATTCCGGATCCTCAGAGCTATGGCGCTGGCGGCATCGATGTCTACCGGTCGCGCACAGCACCGCCGATGTCCTGACCGGACCGCAAGCGGGGAGCCGTGTCTTCCCAGTCCGTTCAGGCGAAACCGTCTCTAAACGAGATAGATTTGTCTAGCGGCACTGTGGCTGTTAGCTATCTGTTTCCATCAATCACGCGATGAGGCAGCTAGCGTTGTCGGCGGGAAAATAAGACAATACCACGAAAGTCCCGCCGCTAGCCACTAGCTTTCGTACCAGTAGGAGACAACTCGCCTTTACCATCCTGCGTGTGGACCACACCACACTGGAAAAGACGGCTGCGGGATGAAATTGACAGCGCTCGACCTGCAATCCCCGAACCTGGTTAAACTGAACCTCTGTGTCCTCGCCCCGAGCTTGAAGCGACGTTTTGCCGCCGGAAAGCACCGCGAAGTTCGCCACGCAGCATCCACCTGAAATACCAAGCACAAAGTGTCTTTGCCACAGATTCCTTTACTGGACCTGTTGTGACTTGCATCAGCGAAGAAAGTCAAAGAAAACATTGGGGATCATTTGGGGAGGTGTACCGGATGATATGCTTGGGCTCTCACGCCACAAGCGCGGGGAAAAAGGCAAACTATAAACGATCCCAACTGCTACTGCGCAGGAAAGCGAAGATCTGTCCTGTCAGATTGTACTTCGTCATCTTATCGTGCTGCTACGATAGCTGCTGATAGCTCGGTTTGGCTCTCTTGAGCATTGCGACGGGGGCATCAGAATGGTCTGCAAAGGAGCCCTCATTTAGGCTCCCTGCCCTAACACGCAATTCCCATTCCCAGGGTAGCTACACAGCTTTGGACAGCCTGGGATTGGGTAGCATCTACACAGAAGAAGGGAAGCTGCAAGAAAAACCGTCTTCCCACCGTGGCATCATCGCTGTTCCGGTCTCCTCCTAACTTCCCTTCTCCTGCATTAAAAAAACC